AAGAATGTCAAATAATACGTATTGTTGAAATATAGACACATCTGTGGTGAAATTATCAATATAGACCTATGGCGTGAGTTTAAGTGATCATTTACAATGATTATCATTCAATGCCATGCAGGCCTTAATCTTCGTGAACGTTTTTCCTTGGGACTCGAGTGAAAGTATCTATTTCGTTTACCGAAATGAAACGAAATGGGGTTTAACGTTCTACTCTTCTGCTCCGAACTGAGCTAATGAAGACGAGGGAAATTTTGCACGGACAGTGGCACTACGTACGTCCTACTCTTAGATCGAATTCCAACTCTTTTACGTGCACGCAAATGCGCACACGGGACCTCGGTTTTTCGTACCATCCGAACGACTAGACGGTGTCCTTGTTATTTCGTTTAACGCTTTAATTACTAGAATAGATTCGTTTTATATGCCCATATTTAAAGTAGCCGTATATTGTCACGTCTGTCGCTCGGTATCCAAAATTTCGTGTGTTTTATACGCCCACATGGAAATGTGGTCTTATATTGCCGTCGCCCCCGTCCGTACGTCCGTCCGTCGTCCACAATTTCTTGTGAACACTCCACAGACTACATTTATCATCTGATTGTTTTAAATTGTGAAATTGATATATGTTGTTTTCATCAGTGAGATGAAGAGGTCTGTTTAATTTCAATAATTTCCGTTAATGTCTTCTGGTCCATGTTTTACTTTGTTGAACCTTGTGAACGCCCTAACGACAAAAGTTATCATTCGATCTGTGTGAAATTTTATATGCATCATTTAAATTAGTGAAACGAAGAAGTCCGTTGAATTTCAGCAATTTCTATTAATTAGGTCTAGATTTATGGCCCTAGTTTCACTTTGTTGAACCTTGTGAACTATCTATAACAACAAAAGTTATCATCCGATCTTTACGAAATGTATATATTAGATCAGTTCAACGAAGAAGCCTATTCAATGTCAGCAATTTCCGTTAATTTCTTCTAGAGTTATGGCCCTTTTTCGAATGGCGACAGTTATCCCTTGATTTGTGTGAAATATATATACATCATTTAAATTAGTAAAACAAAGGATATTTAATTTGGGCAATTTCCGTTAATTGCCTCTGGATTTATGGCCCTTGTTTCTCTTTGTTGCACCTTGTGAATGCTCTAACGACAAAAAGTTATAATCCGATCTGTATGAAATTTATATACGTTATTTGAATAAGTAAAACGAAAAAGCCTGTCGAATTCAGTTTGTAGAACCTTGTGAACCCCCAAACGACGAAAATTATAATCTGTATGAAAAAGCCTTGTTAATGCCCCCAATTATCTACAAAAGAATAAATATGCGACAACCTTGTCAACCACACGGACGATTTAGCTGCTGTGGAAGTATGTTTCGTTGCCTGGCAATCTATCTTATTTGTGTATAAACATATAGGGGTGCTTTATTTGGTCTTATATACGTTTTACTTCTTTTAGTTATGCTTATTGGTTTTGCATAGCAATAGGGCTGCAATTTTACTTGCAAAATGTCATGTTAAATGTCGCTCATTCTGTAACTTAAAGGACAATATTGGTGTCAGTCATTATCACATATATGTGATAGAACTAATTAAACACGTTCCAAAAATAACTTTAACACAGAGATCATTGCTACGATAGCTGAGTAATACAGGTTTCCTGAATCGGAAGTGACGAACGCCAAAGGAAAACATGAGTCATCCCTCTATATAACTGACTGAAGTGACGAGTAATAACAGATACATGGGCGAATTTCTGCTCACTAATAATTCCTTCAAGACCAAAAGTTGTTGTGTGAGACTGTGAGAGGATATCTGACAATTCATAAAAAGAATTGACTGCCACTAGATAAGAGAAGAAAAACAGAAAAAGTGGGTGCATTACCATGTTTTTATGAGGTATAGAATGAATATAGGGAATGTGCGGACTATTTCTATTTATCTAGTGTTCTCTTATCTAATGACATTCAATCTCTTACAGTCCCATGTAACAACTTTTGGTCTTCGAAGGAATTATTAGTGAGCAGAAATTCAGCCGTGTATCTGTTATCACTCGTCACATCGGTCAGTTATATAGAGGGATGACTCGTGTTTTCCTTTGGCGTTCGTCACTTCCGATTCAGGAAACCTATATTACTCAGCTATCGTAGCAATGATCTCTGTGTTAAAATTATATTTGGAATGTGTTTAACCAGCTCTATCACATATGTGATAATGACTGGCACCAATATTGTCCTTTAATAGTCAAAGTAAATACCGTTTTAGTGGCTTAGTCAACAGTTATGAGGCAAATGACCTACATAAACAATACCAAACAAATATTACTTGAATATGGCACAGATAAAGGGAAATGTCCCTTTGGGTGTATGGCAATATGAACAACATAATTTTCATATGAAGTATATTTATTTAAGCTTACAATAATCCCCAACAAATCTTCTAAAGTACTCATTAGTAAATGGAATAGAAGTAAAGACCCTTTTAGTTACTATTGTGGAAGGAAATCTTGAACAAGATACTATATAATCGTTATGTTGGATTGTAGATTCTCCGCTGAGAATTATATTGTCAGCAATTAAGCTCTTATTATCCCGAAATGTCAAGTCCACGATTAGTGCTCTGAGACGAAACGGACAAAACCACTCCCTAAGGAATGGTTGCTTTGGACGTTTAATAATATTACAGATTACTAGGACACTCTTATCTAGAAATACTGCTGTGACCTTATGATATGAATGTAGCACTTTAAAAGCGTGTCTTGTCTTCATTATCCCGGTCGGTGCAGAAAAGTAGCATGTTAAGCACCATTTCATTCCATTTCATTTGAAAAAGCTCGTTAGCTGTCGTCTGAAATCCTCAACTTATACATTTGGGAATTGATAAAATGACAATAAGTTCCTACACGTAGTCTAGGCTTTGGCAAAATCCATCCAGATAAGGACTATCTAGTGCTAATTGTTAGCTGTCGCCGACATACATTAATAATTACTGGCAATAACCATTTAACTACGGTGTTTGATACTATTTCCCCCAATTTTGTTTACAGGAATTTCAACTTAATGACCTAATCAGGGAAAATCTCATTTTGATAATGGTCTATGACAAAGTGTTATATAATAATGACTGTAGTAGCAGGAGTGTGTTGACAGCAATATCGTGTATATGACAAGGAGAAGAGTCGAGCGTTTCTCGGGTTACTACCAACTGCAAAACATAAAAATCATGTGTACCACCGTTTATGTTAGTCCCGAGAAGTGGTTTAATTTGTTTAGAATTGTTGCTAGATTACTCTTTTTCTGTATTTCCGTCTGCTCGTCATCGAATTCCACCCTGTCCCGGGTTCCTTGTTCACCTCATACAAAGGAGAGGTGAGGGGGGGGGGGCTGTGCTGGAGAATCCCTAGGACTTTTCTCAGCCAACACCTGGATCGAATCAGGGACCTCCTCGTTAGTGAGCAAACACCATTCTCTCTCCGAGCCACTGTGACTCCTCAAAGCTCATACTCTCCCCGAGCCACAGTGACACCTCGAAGCTAAATTCAAGAGATGGATTATACAATTAATATAGTAACGACTTACTAACAACACTCGAGTCAATCTATATTCGATCAATGCGTATTACTGAGGACTGTTCTCAGCCAACACCGGTGATCAAACCAGGGACCTCCTAGTTATACTGAGCCAGCGCCGTACACATCGAGCCTCTGTGACTCCCCAAAACCCCTATATTGAGGACTTTTCTCGTCCAACACCGGGATCAAACCAGCGAACTCTGGGCCAATGCCGTACATCCCAAAAGCTATTGATTCCCAAAAGCTATTGAAGAAGACAATATAAGTAACGACTTACTAACAACAGTCCAGTAAATCTATATATACGATCAATACGTATTACTGATATTGAATGTGGTATCATGTAATGCCAATATTGGTTCGTATTATATCTTAATGAAACTGAAAGATATTTAGAGACGTATAGAAGAGAACAAATACTGCATGGCACGGTCATTAATAGAAATGTATCAATTACAGTGTACAATGTGTCTATAACGAGGATGATTCCCGGGTTTCCTTTCCAATACTCCAGTCTTTACTGAAATAGATATGCAATTGGAACATATATTTTATCCAGACGTCGGGAGCCACGGTGGCTCGTAGTTAAGGCGCTGGCTCACTAACCAAGAAGTCACGAATCCGAATCCGGTATTGGTCAACGAAGTTCTTTGGGATTTTGCAGAGTGGTTTCCCCATGTCACTAGTGAGGGACGGGGTGGTCTGACAAGGGTCAGCATCTAGTTGGCATGTCCGTAAAATAACCCTTGATTGTTGGAATTCGACGATATATATGTGGTAATGCCACTGATAGGACATAGACCACTGCGTGGCCGTTTCATTAACATGCGGTTGGTGCAGGATATTTATCCAGACATCGGTGTTTCCAGAGCGTCTAGTCGACGTATTGTCTTTCCGAAAAGACTTTATACTATCAATTTGTTCCCTCGTCTTCATACAACTTTGAACAAATTTCCTTGTTGGTCCTCAAACATAACACCTGACAAGTACGAAGAATACCAAACCCAAGTCTAATAAAAGTTGTCCCGCCTCTTATAAACCAAATCTAAAGTGAAATGAAATGGTATTTAACGGCCTAAATTTCCTAACCAAATCTAATGGAATACTAACAATACTTAGTGTGCTCACCAATAATTTAGTTATACAATCTATTTCACATTACTGTTCGGCACGATATCTTTTTCTAATGTTCGACATTATAGCTCATCTTTAAGAGCCAAAACGATCATTTGAAAAGAAGGATTACTCGAGTTTTAGCACCTGTCTGTGTCCTTCATTAGAGTATTGTTTAGGTTATTGTAGGTTAATCCCTGGGGGTGATCAATAATCTATGTTTGTTCATTGTTCGGATCAGCTGATCCTTTACATGATTAACACTCATTAACTAAGTAATATTATGAACTGTTGCGCTTTTATATTTTTCAGTAGCTGACTAGCCACAAGTCTGTATGATTACGACGGAGCCCTTATTCTTACTTCGACCAATCATGACAGAGAATCTGGATCCTATATTAACTTCATTCTGGGAAGGTTTTCCGTGTCCCCCACCGTGGAGATCAGGGATTCTACAACAGTTGAACTTCTCGGGTTGTTTGGGCTCTTCTGTAGGTAAGTGCCCTTTAACTGTCTTTTATACTGTGCTGAATTTTTTATGCGAGTTCAGAAGATTTTGCTATAAATATTCATTTGCATGGCAAGGCAAGGTTAATGAATGTACAAATGGATTGATCAATTATGGATATATACACCAATCTACATGCGTGTCATGTTGAGTTATTATGACATACGTCTTATATCCGGACTGCAATGGTCGACTTTGGTGTATTTACTGAATGCGGGGTCTGTTCAAGGCACAAGAAACTCGCTCCATGCTCTGTTACCCGAACTGCATTAGTCGACATTTGACTTAGGTGTATTTATGGAAGGTGGTTTGTTAACGACACATGAAGTTCACTCTTTGCTGTGCTCCCCGAACTGCATTAGCCGATGTTTGGGATATTTGTGGAATGGTGATTTTTAACGATGTAGGATACATAATCGATCCAACATTTCGTCGATGAAGTGTCAAAAGGGTGTACCTAAGAATTTCTAAAGATTAAGAAATAGAACCTTTTGCAATTCAAAATTTCAACAAATCAAGATACAACATTTAGACACCTGATACCCAGAATAGTTCTAATTGGCGTAGAGATACACAGCTTAAACAGAAATGTGCATATTAATTGGGAGATTTTATAAATGCACAAAAAGTGTATTTGACTAATTTCCCGAGATACACCCTTTTGACATTTCACCGACGATTTGTCTTTATTTCGTTTTAGTTACACATTATTCACTCATATAACAGATAACATTTAAAAAATGCGCGTACGCTTTCTTCAAAGTCGACAAATGCTGATTACTGTCATCCAGTAATTTTATGTGAGCTCTGGTTAAAACTTTCCGTTGGGCCATGTATGTCCTATTTTATATCTTTGCCAATTAGTTGCATTGAGAACATCAGGGGAGCTACATTTATGGACAGATGGATTCTATAAGTATTGGAATCGCCGGATTCAAGAGTCGAGTTGTATAATATCGTCAACGGCAGTAGTCAAAAGACCAATAGAAATCGATATCGAAGATAATAATGAATAGCTTTAGTTGGAATTCTTCACTAAAAAATTCCGGGTTTGTCATAGCGTAAGTCCAAATGTGCAATATCAAGAATACACCTCCCAAAAATGTGTTGCAATACGTGTAATTATTGTCCCTAAATGACCCCTTGTGCTTTCCATACCAATTGTGACTTCATGTATGTGAAAAGGAGAAATCAAATGAAATGGTGCTTAGCTTCCTACCTGTCTGCGCCGTCTGGGCTAAGGAAGACAGGTGTACGCCTTACAGTGTGCTATGAGGGTATTTCTGTCCGGACAGCGGCGCTAAGGCCTACTCTTACATCGAATTCCAACTGTCAAGGGTACTTTTACATGCTTGCCAACTTGTACACGGGAACTGGCTTTTCCGTCCTCCCCCCCGTTCTGCACCATGCCGGACCTATACCGGACCAAACCAAGGATCTCCTGGTGAGCCAGTGCCTTAGTCACCGGGCCAGATTTGCGTGACCGATCGATCTAACGCAAGCACAAGGACTGTCGTTGAGCCAAGCTGATTAAACATGAACTTATCAAACCTCTTTAATCCGGTATGCTCCCACTGCTAAAGACTCCTATGCGCAAGCGAATTATTCAAATAAAATTATACCATGTTAGTCCCGAAATTACATAGTTTGTGTCGACTGGAATCACTATCCCTCACTTCCCCCCAAGTGAAGATAAAGTTGTCGAGGAAAACACTACCATCTTATTTTTATCAACAGGTAACAGAATAAGATCGTTAATGTTAAAACGCTGTAGTGGAACTGGTTTCAAGGAGATCTCCGAGATTATTATGGAAGATAACTCTACTTATATCAACGAAATACCAGAACACGTGTTTGTCATGGACGCATGTGCACTCAACTGTCGTCTGTTGATTGTGTCCGTCTGCGTTGTGTTTTTGGTTGGAATGTTGGCTGGGATTATATATTTATTGTACAGGTAAATGCCAGTTTATATCAACATTTATTTTTATTAGAAATAAAGAAATCGCTTTTTATGTACATAGATAAACCTCATACATTTAGGAGATATCCTATCAGATTTTTTAGAAATAGAAGCATACATTACATCTTGTACAACACTCGTTACTTTCGGTATTTAAATGGAACGATTCTCGATATACAGCTGGCTCGCTAAACTGGATGTCGGGTGTTCGATCCCTGCATTGGCCGAGAAAGTTCATCCCGATTTTCCAGCGTGGTTACCCTTGTCAGTGATGTAGGACAGCTGTCTAGTCGTTCGGATGGGACGAAAAACCGAGGTCCCGTGTACACATTGGCGTGCACGTAAAAGATCCCTTGACAGTTGGAATTCGATATAAGAATAGGCCATAGTGCCGCTGTCCGGGCAAAATTTCCCTCATCGCACACTGTATGGCGTATGACCGTCTTCATTAGCCCAATTCGGAGCAGTACAGTAGGACGTTAAACCCCATTTCATTTCTCGATATACAGTTTATTTCTTTTAATTAAAACTAACCACTGTAATAACGGACACAGATCAGATTGCCTTTGGCTTGGGTGTAGTTTCGTTTTCGCTTCTATGATTCCAACTAAGACATGGCGTCACTGTTTAGTGTTATTGGACCCCTTAATAGACGAAAAGTTGAATATACAAATAATTGTGAATCAAATGATGTTTCGCTCTCTTCATCGAGATACTTCGATCATTTCGAGATTAACTCGTGATAATTTGGTTATTTGGGAAATGCGAGGTTGGGGAATTTTGCCCGGTCAGCGGCATTTCTGCTTATTCTTCTTCGGTTTCCAACTGTACAGGATTATTTTACGTGGAACGCGTTCCTAGTCACACTCGTCCACAACGGGGTTCTAAACCGGGTCATTCAGATCGAGTGTCTCGAACAATTCAATTGGAAGAAAATATTGTACGGTTGATCGGGTCGTTTGCGTCACGACCGTTTCTAGTCAAATTCGGTGATATAATTTGTCCGTGTATTTTGTTGCTATTTCCAAGTTCACCAATGTCAGTGCTCACTTTGCGTGGAATTATTCAGTCTTGAACATTAGATGAGATTTTCGAATCTGACATCAGTTTATCGGTTGTTGTTCAGGATTGCTGACATATAGATCGATTCAAATTATTACATTTCCTTTCACATATCGATCGGGAAGGAATATATTTCTCCGTCAGAAGTATAGCTTAATATCGGTTACAAATTTTGATTAATTTCAAATGGATTATTGAATAATATTCACCCTAAATAAAATTTTATACTACTGAAATTATTTTGATCATAACAAAATAGAAAGATATTCAATATACACTGCTGATTTTCATATGAGGATTTTGAATTCCTTGCAAAAATCAATATTGTGAAATTGAATCTCTTAAAAATGATTATCAGACCGTTGAGTATTCACCAAGGGTATGATGAAATGAAAATTTTCGCAACATTCTGTCTCCTCTGCAGACAAGACAAACAAGCCAGCGCCACTCTTTAGTCTGGTGTAAAATCCTTTTAATGGGATCGAATACAAGGCGGGAGATTAATCACCGTATATATTAGTTTTGTTGTTTTAATTAAATGAGGGAGTCACTGTGGCTAAGTGGGTAAGACGCTGGCTCGATAGTCTGGAATCGCGTGTTCGATCCCTGCATTGGCCGAGAAAGTTCAGCGGGATTGTCCGACGTGGTTTCACCTTGTCAGTGGTGCACGACTGAGGGCCAGATAAGGACAGTTGATAAGTCGTTCGGATGGGTACGAAAAACCGAGGTCAAGTGTATACATTGGTGTGCACGTAAAGGATCCCTTGGCAGTTGGATTTCGATATAAGATATAAATTTCCCCCATAGCACACTGTATGGCGTATGGCAGTCTTCATTAGCACAGTCGGAGCAGAACCGTAGAACGTTAAACCAATTTCATTTCTGTGGTGAATACATATAAAGGGGGATAACTTCTCCCACACCAGGGACAAAGCCAGTAGTTTTCTGCTAAATCTATGAAGTAATTTGACTGAAACTGTCAACGTATTCCATTTCGTTATCTATAACTGTCAGTTCTTTATCTAAATCTTACAGAATGCATCTCTAAATGAAATTATTTCATTTTTATTTTTAGAAACCATTTTCATAAACCTTCGAATGGAGTTCCACGTGGTGTGCAACCAGGCAGACACGACGTCTCAAAAACTTTTAACAGTTGTCATTATGCGTCGGCCCCAGTGATTGGCCGACTTGATGAGGTTTGTACCAAAACGATTTCCAATTAAACTTATTAACCGTTTATGTTTAATTGGCCCAATAATAGTACGACTACAGGTTCAACCATTTCCCAGTATCGTTGCCGCCATTAAACTCATCAGTAACACAATCTAGACTACTATATTCAAAATTGTTATACCGGCTTTATTGTTGGTGATGGCGATGATGTTTGTTATGATAGTACAAGCAACCATTGCTAGGATAATCCTTGTAATAGACCGGTCATGTATGCAAATTTAGGATCCAACACAGGTGCTGAAGATCATAAGGCCTGTCTTGAGTTGGATTCCGCCTTTATTAAAGGCATACCAGCCTTACGATATGGAATGCTATATATTATCTAATAATCTTTTCCGCTTACCTGAGACCATGTGTGATTAGATTTACCAAACATGTTCTAACACCCTAAATTATATTACTAAGAATACTGCCCCCCAACCACCGTCCTCTGCCCAGCCCGGTTATGATTTCGGCGCGGGTCGAGAAAAACCAGTGGGATTTTCAAGCCCTGTTCCAATTGTTTGGATCTGACAAGGATACTGTATCTAGCCCTTTGGGTGGAAAGCCTAAGTCTACGCCTGTACACATTGACATGCACGTAAACGATAGATGTCCGGTTAAAATTTTCTTTTCTACCATTGCACTCGTGACCAAGAAACCAGATGTTAGTCTCAAAGTAACTGAAGTATTGTGTTGACGAGGCATTAAACCTCATTCTAGTTCAATTTCGGGGAGGGGGGCGAATGGTTAACGCTTGTACGTGACAAGGAGTAGGGTCACATGTCTAACCTCGATGGTTTTTTCCGGGTCCTCCGGATTCCTCCCACTGTTAAGAGACCCCTACGCGCTAGCGAATTATCGAAATAAAAGTAAATCGTGTGTTAGTCCCGAAATGACCTAGTTTGTGTCAAGTGGACGTTAAACCCCATTTCTCTCTATATTCCAATGTCAATTGACCTTCTATTTGACGGGGTTGAACTATTTTTACATTTAATGATCGACGTTATTTTATATGTAATGTATCAAAACATCTTTCTTTTCAGACGAGTTTTTGTCAAGGTAAAGAAATGTGCAGAAACCGGCCTAGAAATGGCGTCACGGGAAATCGATACGATAAACTTCGTTTTCCATCGGACAAACGTTCTCAGATATACCCTGGGATGCGCGACAGTCGATTACCCAACTACGAAAACGATCTAGAAACATCGAATGATTACGAATCTATTGACGATTTGGATAAATGTGATTCTAAAAATAGCAGTCCCATGAAATTCGGATGCCATTATCAGTTCGGTAATGGGGAGACAATTCTATCCATTTCCTCCGATCTCGATACAGACGACAATCTGTGTCAAGTGTCAACAGACAATCTCAACGATGAGGAAAGTTTTAGTTCCGTCGCATGTAACGAGGCTTTTGAACCCGAGGCTAGTGGAGATGATATTTCGTGTGACTATTTAGCGGATCTGAAGTTAGATCTCAATATGTGTAGTACGTCACGTCCGGTTAATTATGTGCCCACGTTCTCAACATTTAAGAAAGAAGTTTCCTATACTTGAATATTGTGCAACAACTGTGTGTTTTAGCTGGTGTCATGAGTGTGTAGGCCTAGTAGGCTACAATTCGCCAATAAATAAACTCGACATTTAACAGAGAAGTTTCCTATACTTGAATTATGTGTATTTCAGCTGGTGCCATGAGTGCGTAGGCCTAGTAGACTACAATTCACCAATATATACTGTTACGAAGTTTAACGGTATAGTGTAATAAATATAGGATGTTTTCAGATTTCAATTTCACGAATACAAAGAATCTGTTTTAGTGTTCTAAGGTCTGTGTTCATTCTATCTCGGCCTTCAACCCCCGGGGTCATTAAATGTCAAAGAGTTCATTTCATATTTGAAAATTATATTTTTGTGTAAACGGATATCGTAATAACCAATCCGTAACAGTAATGTGAAAATTAGGTGCTCTTTATTATAAAACATGGGATTTCGACATACAGCAACAATACCCTATTACGTATATTCGAAGAAAGCTATAAAATACAAAACGTGAACTTAGGGTAACGAACGCACGTGTTCAAAATGAAATATGCAACGATTATATTGTGTTGTTACAGTCGTGCTTTTGAAGTTCAAATTCGAGAATTAAATACAGGGGAAGTAAGTCTATTTCGGGATTGTGCCAGGTTGCTTTAGAAATTGTCATATTTCGACGTAACAATAGAGAATTGCACAAAGCGTCGTCGTCTTGGAAGTTGAGATTTGAGAAAAGCTTATTGATAATTATAAATAAAGGGAAGTAAGTCTTCGCATTAATTCGGGGTTTTATTAACATATTAAGCCATGTTGCTATGGTAATTGTATATAAATGATTAATATAGTGTATATAATTACTTGTTAAACATTAACACTACATTTACCGGAGTTATGTTTTAAATGTTGTCAAATAATGAAAAGTGCTCATTAATAAATATAATTATTGTATTTTTCTACAATATATTTAGGATTTATTAATTTTGTTTTGGAGATAAAACTCTACGGTGTTGTAACTGTCATACATAACTTCTGCCACTGCATCCTAATGCCATCTGTGTGTATAAAGTGAGCGTGCATCTGGTCTGAAAGAAATGAAATAAAATGAGGTTTAACGTCCTACTGTTCTGCTCCTATACTGGCCTAATGAAGACGGTCTGAAAGAGATTGTTATTGAAAAAACCGAGGTCCTTGTACATATTGGTGTGCACGTAAAAGAACGGTTGATATTTGGAATTCTAAATAAGAGTAGGCCATAGCCCCGCTGTCCGGACAAAATGCCCCTCAAAGCACACTGCATGGCATATGTCTGTCTTCATTAGACTAGTCAAAGCAGAATGTTCAGTAGGACGTTAAACTCACTTTCATTTCATTTCTGTTTGCTTTCATACTTATTTTTTTATTGGAGGTCACAGTGGGTAAGACGCTGGCTCACTGTTGAAGGTCGGGTGTTCGATCCCTGCATTGGCCGAGAAAGTCCATCCATATTCTCCAGTGTGGTTCCCACTTGTCATTGATGCAGGACGGAGGGCCTGACAAGGACAGCTGTCTAGTCGTTCGGATGGGACGAAAAATTGACATTCACGTAAAGTATCCCTTGACAGCTGGAATTCGATATAAGAGTAGGCCGTAGTGCCGCTGTCCGGGCAAAATGACCCCCATAGCACACTGTACGGCGTATGCCCACCTTCATTAGCCCAGTTCGGGGCAGAACATTATGTTAAACTCCATTTTATTTCATTCCTTTTTGTATTGCTGAGCAAAATAGTTTTAACGAAACATCAACTTCTATACACAATAGCCCCCTATAGTCATGTGATCCCCAAAACATTATCTAACTGTCCTTGACATATGTCTGTCTACCCAGTTCAAACAATATAAGTAAAATCTATTCAACATACTTACATAAATCATGAAATACTATACCCACAACCAAACAAATCTATATGGTTTTGTTTATTTGGAGACGTGATCGAGAAAAATAGTACTGATTCAAAATAGATTGTACGTGTCGGCTATTCACAGGGCAGTGTTTAGATGTATTTATTGAAATAAGAATTAAAAGTACACGCGTAAACGACCCCTATCTATACATAAACTTTAATAGTAAGTGCATGAGGACCGCACCACACACAAACTAAAACCGATAAGACAATCTCACAGACAAGACACACAAACCACCTAAGACACTGCGAGCAATATACAACAATCGTATATATCAAATTAAGGAAGAGCGTCGTATATCATATAGAACGAAGAACTGAGGTCCCGTGTACACCTTGGCGTGCACGTAAAAGAAGCCTTGACAGTTGGAATTTGTAATAAGAGTAGGCCTTAGCACCGCTGTTCGGGCAAAATTTCGCTCACAGCATACCGTATGGCGTATGCGAGTCTTATTAGCCTAGCCAGACCTAAAATATGGGACATTAAACCCATTTTATTTCAGACACACACGACATCCTGACAAATCAGAACCTGTCTTGGGGAAATCCCAAGGTCTTGGGGGTTGGATATTGGCCTAAAGATTAGCACGTGCGCGCTGTATCTAAGGTCTGTCACTGAGTCAACTGGCGTGGTTTCGATTCCCTGGTTGTACGTGACAAGGAGTAGGGTCGCCTGTCCAACCTCGTGGGTTTTCTCCGGGTCCTCCGGTTTCCCCCCACTACTAAAGACCCCTACGCGCAAGCGAATTATTGAAATAAAATTGAACCATGTGTTAGTCCCGAAATGACCTAATTTGTGTCGAGTGGACGTTAAATCCCATTGCTCTCTCTCTCCCATTGAATTTACCATATGACAGCTCAACTACCACAGTGTCCAGTCAAATACATTTCTATCTGAGAATTAAGTATACTTTAATCACACGGACACTAAGTGAAAAAAAAAGGCACAAACTAATTGTCCATCACGCTCCCAATGTATTTCAATTTCTAAATGTCAGAATAACTGGTTGAAAGAAGTCTTTCGCAAACATATTTAGCCTTGACCTTTCATATTGAATAACCCATCTTTGTGATGATGAATGTTTCTACATGATAATATGTATCTTGTTTATTACGATTATTGGCCTGAGAACATCGAGGAAGATATCATTTGACAATCTTCATCGTTTTCGAGGCAATCGTACTTTACTATTGTATGATCAGTGAGCATGTATTGGCTATCTCTCGAATTGTTCCAATGATTTGAGGACCTAACAATGTAAACTTTAGTAGAGATTTTTATTAAAAGATTGCAATGTTTGACTATTAATAATCCACCAGTTCATTCCATAGAGCAAAAAAAAAAAATAAAAAAAAATAAAAAATAATAAAGAGCGACATCTTTAGGGTGATTGAGTTTGCATAGTAATTAAAGTAGCTACGTTAGCTACGTCTCTAGCTCAATTGTAACAAGGGACTAGAAGAACGAGGCTAGACATATCCCACAAGTCATGTCAAACGGTGACGTCATATTCTTATCTGGAGAGCATGCGCAATAAATACTAACAATGTAGACAGGAATAACCAGACGCTAGAGATTGCCATTCGATTGAGACTTCTGGCGTATTTCGCCGAACATAACTGATTTGAAATTAGAATAAAAACGGAAATTTGTGTCAATTTCTAGATCCCAAATATTAGCGATTTAGCTGCTTTAAGAGGTCATCATTTTCAGATTTTAGAACGTTGGGAATAACACATTCATATTGGTTGCGTCGCCTTTGAATTCGGTTCGGAGTAAGTCCATCTCGTGTTCAGTACCTTGTCACTACGTCTAATTGCAGGACGGGGAAAATTTTGGAAAGGCTGAATGTTCTATAGAATCCTACTCGTCCAAGCCAGTCATAAATTCCGCGCATAAGTTCCTTAAACAGATCGTAAACAGTTGCTACTACGTTCGCACACAGTTCGAGCCCGTTTGGCAACATTGTCCAGGTAATGGCAGATTTAATTTGCGCATTTTGAAAAACGCTCAATGGTCCCCGGATAGCATCCCACAGTTTCCGGTTCTACACATCTCAAAGACATAGAAAAAAAAAGAAAAGAACTTCTTGGTGCGCAACTGCACAGTTGCCATTTCACTGAAATTTATAATGAAATACTATTATGTAAACATTCTAATAGATGTATATATGTTTCTATATTTTATTATAACTTTAGTCTGGCCACTAGTTCAGCCTAGCGATACTTATCGTTATTGTGATCGTTAACCAGTTTTGGAAACTCGTTTATTTGAAGTACTGGAGCCACAGTGGCCCAGTGAGTAAGATGTTGGCTCGCTAACCTGGTGTAACGCTTTTAGTGATAAAACAGATCAGTTTCTTAAAGATACATTATGTAAGAGTTAGATAAAGAGCTGACCATTCTTGCTATAATAGCTCAAAAATAGATAATGTAAGATGAATAATTTGAAAATTTCATTCAAATTACTCTATTGCGGCCGAAGATATTAGCCTTTGAAGTCTGACAAGACGCATGCAATAATTTCAACTACCGTACTTGTTGTTCGAAGCTAAGTCTCGCTCCTCTATGTTTAGCTTAAATCAAAATATGGCTGAACTGTTCTAATCTATTTAATATCGGAGAAATCCGTACCATCGAGAGTTGATTATGGCCTGGATAAGTTAATTAATGCCTAATTAATAATTTAGAAAACATTTCAGGCCTAAAGAAAGACCTGCAATAGGCAGATTTAGCTGTTGCATAATGTATGTTTAAATATAGGATTCATCTACATCGGGAGCAACTCATAAATACACCAGGAACATAAATAAAACAGGAACTAAACTACACCAGGAACATAAACAATAACATTAACACAGTACATTACTATAGTACAACCATTCCGCCCTTCTGCCACGGCAGCGACTGAACTTGGGTGAGTCTACACGCTCGTCTCTGATCGTCTTTGCTCCTCTCTGCTCCTCTAACCAAATCTCTCGTCTCAGGGTCTTCTATACTTCCGTATATCTGACTTTGCTTTCTATTTAATCAAGAACATTGTCACTACAGGAAAATTATTAAGTCCGTAATTAAATACGTGTATATATGTAGTGGACAGTATAGTTTATATCGGTCAAAATTTATTTCCCTAATAGCACACTATATGGCGTATGCCTGTCTTCATTAGAGCTTCGTCGGAGCAGAAAAGTAGGACGTTAAACCCCATTTCATTTCATTTATTAGAAGAAGTACTTTATTTATATGTATTTGAGTTTTCGTCGTTAGTGTTGGAATTAGCTACACACCCTACAAAACAGCGCAACGAAAGTTATATTAGTTTAGTCGCCATGTTTATGTCTGATTAACATTGCCCGTCTTCATAAGATCATTTGGAGCAGAACAGTAGGACGTTAATCCCCAGTTCAATTTCTTTATTAACAGTGATATGCATACAATAACGCTCGTACACATTTAATTCAAGCTGTCGCCCGAAAGAATCATGTTAAGCTAAGGCACAGCCATGTGAATTTACGGCATAAAAAAACATTATTTTCATTGTTTAGATCTACCAATTGAATTTATTGGAATATGATTAGATAAACATTGTAAATTATGTTACATAACCTTACACTGTTAAAACCTGGATGTCATTAAATCATATGAGCGATGTCAATTAATTCACACTATAGCTAGCGTTTTCATAACGTGAAACCCACGCATGTGACACAGGGGAAGAGTCCCCCCCCCCCCCCATAAAAACAAAAAAAAGGAGTGAAGTCAATAATGGCCGTGTTCTTGCAGGGGGAGAGGGGGTGGATGAGCAGGGGGGGGGGGGGGTGTCCTAGGTTGGACTCCCACCCTACCCCATCATAAAAAAAACTATGGTTAAGTAATTTTATGAAGTCAATATTAGCCGACGGTCTATACGTGATCCGAGTAGCGGTTAATGACCTTTACCTATAGTCTACAGTCCTTTAGTTGTTTCAAGTATTCTGGCCATCGAAGCCATTTACTAGGCTAAAGAACAACGTTTAACGTCCACTTGACACATAGTATCGCATGTACGTTAATTATTACCCCGTTATACACGTGTACTCAAGATGGATAATAACAAATTTTAAATATGATTATCAGTATATGATTAAATCCTACAGGTATCTCATAAGGTGACATAATATTTTGAAATAGATTTACCAATTAAATAGATATATGTTTCGCATCAATAAATATATCTACACAAGCCTAAATCTGTAGATTTAAAGGAGCTGGACCTCTAACTCGATAATATCCAAAATCGAAATTAAAAACTCCAACTGGAACTAAATACTGGTCCATTTCAATCATTTATCTTTCCGTGCAAATATGGGATCCTAATATCCAATACTTAAGGCATATAAACTCTGTGGTTACAATGATTTCGAGTGCCATTTGTAATAAACAAAGAAAACATATCACTGAAGACAATTAAAAATGGCTGATTCACAAACGACAAAATAATATAATAATTTTTTTAAAAAAAACCAAAACGTGTGTAATGGACTAAGCAGGCCCAAATGACGCCCGTTCTAGTTGGACTATTCGTGTATTTCACCGAAGATAATTGATTACAAATTACAATAAAATGTTTATAGATTTTATGTAAATCAGTTCATATACATTCGTGTGCTTTTAGACCCATTTTCGTATAATTTAAGGTTCTGAAGAACAGACGGAGGGCCTGACAAGGACAGCTGTCTAATCATCCGGATGGGACGAAAAACCGAGGTCCAATATACACATTAGCGCACGTAAAAGATGCCTTGGTGGTAGTCTGAATTCTAGTAGGCCATAGTACCGCTACCCGGGCAAAAGTACCCTCATAGCACACTGTATGACGTATACCCGTCTTCACTGGGTCAGTCGGAGCAAGACAGTAGCGACACACGCCCTTTAAATATTCTCTTTTTTTCTTTTCTTTTGCGTATTGTGGAAAAGGGGTTTGGCTTTCTACAATTATTTTGCGATTTTCGTACTAAAATATATATCGAGCATTGTATGAATGGAGGAACAAAGGAAAATGCATTCTCATTTAGTCACATCTGAATGGAAAGTGACTATAATCACAAATATTACATGTCGGCATTGAATAAAATTTACATTGTATCTTACAGGCATGTATTGAATAAAAAGTTGCATGGTCATTGTATAATCTGATAATAGTTATCGGTTAAAGTAGAACGTCAATTGTACACAATCTGTAGTTTTACTTTTAAATCGGGTGTTATTATGTGAACTATCAGTTACTGTATAAATGTCTTCTTTTTATAGAGTGAAATCGCATACAAGTTACTATAAAAGAAAAACACCAAACGCGATTGTGGCTCTCCTTTATATAATTTACACCACATTTCTGTAACGGCACACCAAGCAGGACACGTTTTGTTTCCTCTTACATTCAATGAATTAACGTCGAAATGAAATTACAGGGGCGGAAATTTTGCCCGGACAGCAGCACTACGGCCTAATTAACTTCGAACAAACAAACGTGCGAAGCATTGCCACCGTTTGGCCCCACTCACTTTAATCCTCCAGGCTTCATGTAACCACACACCTCTCCTACAATCAAATTACTGAAAACACGTCCTTGCGGGACTATGTAAAACAAAATGACGAAATGCCAACATCGGACCTGAATATTATTTTATTAACATTACTTAAAACTCGCGTTGTCATACAGTACTCGGGGAATAATTACTGATTTCATGGCACATCATTCTTTCTTTTAAAAAATTGACAAAATGGCAACAGTCAAATGGGATTAAAATCTAGCAGTTCTGCATCAATTGGACTTAAGACGAACATGAGGGTATTTTTGCCCTGACAGCTATTGAACTCAAACTGTCAAGTGTCCTTTTACATGCACGCTAACGTTTAAAAGAGGCCTAGGTTTATCGTCCCACCCGAACGACTAGACGCCTTTCCTTGTCAGGTCCCTCGTCCTGCACCACCAGAAAGGGAGAACTACACTGGAAAATAAATCGGAACTTTCTTGCCAGCACCGGGATTGAACCCAACCCCACTAGCTAATGAGCTAGCGCCTTACTCAATGAGTCACCGTGGCTCACGTATGTAATAAGAGAAAAGGTGTTCGTTTACAGTAAAGTCAACTCCGTTGGCTTTTTTACAGTGTAGGTCTATTTAACAACATGTCACGTTGAAGGATATATAAGTATGTAAATATATAAACTGTCAACATTTTAACCTATATCACCAGTATACAGACTCCCAATGTTTATTACATATAAACAACTAATGCGGATATATTCTTCTTCGGAACCCTGTAAATGTGATAACTGTTTCTAAATATTAATTTATGTGGAGGTAAGTCGCCTATATTAATTTTTAACATTTTTCACAGAAGTATAATACACCTCGATGATTCCTTAACTTTATCTTTTAAAAAACGTTTAATATTATGGTGAATTTATATAATAACGGATACTGTGGTTGTCCAAAGCGAGAGAAGTGAGGTTATTTCGGGACTGATATAGCGGTTTGACTCGTTACCCAGGTTCGCTCGTTTTTCTTATATTTTTAGTTATTTACAACCAATCTTGACAATGTCATGTTCGTAAGTAAAACTGGATGTACATAATCGAAATGAAATGGGGGCTAACGTCCTACTGTTGTGCCCCGACTGGGCTAATGCAGGCGGGCATCCACCACAAAGTGTGCTATCGGGCAACTTTTGATCGGGTAGGTAAATATACGAAGAAATAAATTACTCGCAAGACCCCCCCCCCCCAAAAAAAAAGCAAATTACGTCAACAAATGAGAAATACAAAGATATATACTAATAATAAAGAGGTTGGTTGTTGAAAGGCTCTCTAGCAGAACGCAACATTTTTTCTCATAAGTCCTTTATTATCTACAATGCACGTACTAGACCCCTCTTTGCCCTTTCCCCATTTCTTTAAATGATCAGCACATACGATTCAACAATAACATGTCTCTTACTGCTTTATTATTATTGTCTAGTTAACTGAAAAGATTAAAATATTAGAAGGGAAGTAGATAGAATTACTAGCCGTCTGAAACCTGAAATCTCTATAATATATGTTCCCCCTTGTCAGTGATGCAGGACGGAGGGCCTGACAAGGAAGAACTAAAGCTTACACTGTCCGACAGCGAAGAACTGCAGCTTACATTGTCCGACAGGTTTGAAGTACAGCTTCAACTGTCCGAAATATTTACACTGGATAAACTATGTATAAAATCCAGACCATGACTAACTATGTAGGGTCGGATTTACCAATGTCGCCCATTATCCAAACTCTTTAGTTGGACCTCAAATTTATGGTTTTCAAATATTATATAATGAAATACACAGTGTACACTTCAACCAGGTCTGGCACGCTGCCCGACAAATTAGTTTCAGTGGGCCCCTCAAGTTACCAGTAGGCCTTAGGTCAATGGCTTACTATACCTATTGGTATATCCGACCCGGTAACTGAGTGATAAATAGATATGCAATGTAACTCATATACAATGTTTTTTTTAGTGAAATTGAATGAAAATTAAAGTAGCCAAGTCCGTAACTCAATATCATCCAAAATCTTCGACATTGAAAACACGATTTATTTTGCAATTTAAATCAGCAATGGTGTTGTGATCTTACCTGGAAAAGATAGGCTTCTGTTACCATTGGTACACGAATCGTGTACCATAATGCGTTTCAGCGCCATTTGTAACAAGGTGCTCAATGAATGAGGCTAGACATATTCCACAAGTCATGTCAAACGGTGATATCATGTTCTTATTTGGAGAGCATGCGCAATAAATAATATCGGTGTTGACTGGAATAACCAGACGCTAGAAACTGACTTGCGGTTAAGACTTCTGGCGTATTTCACCGAACATAACTGATGACAATTCACAGTAAAAAGGACACGATTGAATGTAAAACAGTTTATATAAATTCTTATTACATTATTATAAGTGTTGTGACTCATTTGTGCCAATTTCTAGGTTCAAAATATTAGCGATTTAGCTCCTTTAAATAAGATAAGCGAGTTATAAGAGCTCATGCATGTCTCACCAATGTGCGTGATATAATCACAAACAATCACTTGTCTGTAGCTTTTGAAATGATTTAAATTTTGGACATAGATATGCTGTTTAGAATATGCATATCTGTAAGATATCTTTCCTTGTCTGTCACTTTTTGCAATACTTTGGGCGCCATTGTCAACAAAGCGCTCCTGTCGGTTTTTACCAGTGCTTATTAGGACCGGGGATTTGAAACTAGTAAGACTATGGATTTAGTTCCCTGACTCCATTTGAAACATCGTGATTACCTGTCATCATATTGCCATCCAATCAGCGTAATCTTACGAATCTTGAGGAGCCACACTCGCATTCGCCCAATGCCCAAGCAGGGGCGTGTTCAGGAATTTGAGTAAGGGTGGGGAGGGCGGGAGCGCAGGGCGCGGGTGGGGGATCTGGGGTTACTTAACGAGCATGCCAACCAGTATATATGGGTGGCAAATCTCTCGGAACTTACTTGGCCAACACTAGGATAGATCCAGGAGCCACAATGACTCTGAGTCAGAAGTAAATAAAGTTCACGTTTAAATGAAATAAAATGGGGTTTAACGTTCCACTTTTCTGCACGAGCTGAGAAAATGAAGATAGTTATACGATTATACGCCATGCAGTGTGATATCTGGAAAATTTTGCCCGGATAGCGGTTCTAATGCCTATAAACCTATATCTAATTCCAACTGCAGCCAATTTTGTTTTATTACGTGTACGCCATGTCCATCCGAACTACTACACGCTGTCCTTGTCAGACCCTCTGACTTGCACTACTGACAAGGTGAAACCACGCTTGAAAATTCCGGATAACTTTCTCGGCCAACACCGAGATCGAACCCAGGACCTCCTGGTTAGCGAGATGGCCTAATGTTTAGCGCGTGCGCGTTGTATCATAAGGTCTGTCATTGAGTCAACTGTCGAAGTTTCGATTCCCCCGGTTGTACGTGACAAGGAGTAGGGTCGCCTGTCCAACCTCGTTGGTTTTCTCCGGGTTCTCCGGTTTCCTCCCACTGCTAAAGACCCCCTACGCGCAAGCGAATTATTGAAATAAAATTGAACTATATGTTGGTCCCGAAATGACCTAGTTTGTGTCGAGTGGACGTTAAACTCAATTTCTCCCTGCGCCTTACTCACTGAACCACCGCGGCTCCCGCATTTACGTTTAAAGGTCACGATTTGTTTACGATACAAGACAGCGACCGGGTCACGATCTAGTTTTTCTGTTTATTCTGTATATCTCTCATTTCACCTGCCGACATTGACAAATATACATGTGCTTTTTTATATAACAATATTTCTTAACAAACAGTCTACAACAATTTAAAATTCAGTCTTAAGTCACAATGGGTTAAAGTAAGATACAAATATAACCGTATTTCTTAACAAACAGTTTAAAACAATTTAAAATTCAATCAAACGTCGCACTAGATGAAAGTAATATAAAAATATAGTCTACAATAAAATAAAGATAAAAAAAAATCAACTGTTTTATTTTTGCACAATCACATCCGTGTAAATCTATTATGTAACCATTAAGAAGTTTTAACATGTAGGTCATCATGTTCTTTTTTTGTTGGGGTCATTGTTTAAAGTAGCTGGTATACGTGTAATTAAAATATATGAATCCTATGCAAACTGCAATATCGTAAAATATGAATTTCTAACAGGAATATTAGTGAAGTATTTTCAAAAATATGATGAAGCGAAATTCTATACATCTATGTAATGGCACACTTTAGTTTTTCATTTTTCTCTCTTCTCTATGGCTCAGTGAGTAGGGCGTTGGATCGCTAACCTGGAGGTCCCGTGTTCGATCCCTGCGTTGGCCGAGAAAGTTCATCGGGCTTTTCTGTTGTGGTTCCCCCTTGTCAGTGATTTAGGACGGAGGGCCTGGCAATGGACAATGTATAGTCGTTCGGATGGGACGAGAAACCGAAGTCCCGTGTACACATTGGCGTGCACGTAAAAGAACCCTTGATAATTGGAGATCGAAATAAGAGTAGGTCGTAACGACGCTGTCCTGGCAAAACTTCCCTCATAGCACACTGTATGGGGTATACCAATCTTCATTAGACCAGTAGGAGCAGAAAGGTAAAACGTTAAAACCCATTTCATTTCATTTCTCCTTCATTTTTTTATTTTTATTTTTTATTTTTTAGAAAAAAAAACAGGCCTGCATTTCTTTCAAATTCCACTTTCCGCCATTTTGCAATCTGCAGTAGGCTGGTCGACAATAACAAGTCTGTTTATTGTCGGATGACGTCATGGTAGTAAAACATGACCGCCGTCTTAACGAAATCTGATTGATGGACCTGTTTTGATCCCACTGAATCCTAGCCGAGAGATTATCTAGCGTTGATATTTGGATTTTTTTGTTCTTAATTAAATGTTAAATAATCGTGGATTAAGCCGCGAGAAATTTGAAACGGTACTTTAATAATATAGTTAATAATAATAATACCTTTGTTTTCAGTTGCCGAGGCCTGATCACTGACAATGCCTAGTGGGTTATATAAAGTTGAGAATGGCACTGCCTCTGCTGAGAAACCTGAAGAATATTATAACAACCTAGAAAACGGTAAAGGTACCGATAACAATGACACGAACACGGAGAAAACGATAGATAACGATGACGTCGATGTTTCAGACACGAGTTGTGGTATTGGTGCTTGTAAACCAACATCATTTCAACGTTTTGCGAACTTAAAACTGTTTGTTTTTTTCTATAGTTTTACTGCTATGTGTACGCAGACGAACATGGCTTATCTTTCGTCACAGATCAGCGCCATTGAAAAACAGTTCCAAATCAGCAGCGTTGTTAGTGGCACTTTAATATCTTGTAATGAAATTGGACAACTGTGCTTCGTATTAATAGTTAGCTATTTTGGTAACCGTGGACACATTCCTAGGATAATATCAAGCTTTGCTCTTATCTACAGTTTTGGAATGCTTATTACTGCTGTACCATATTACTTCAATCCGTATTACCTACCTAAAGACGTGTCAACCACAAATGTCTCTAATACAATGGATGCGGGGATTTGTTCAGCGGTTAATACAACCAGTAAGACCACTGAGCTGAGCGTTGATAATGAAGGTGGTTTACAAGGAACCGGTCTAATTACTGTGTATATTATGGGTGCATCTATAGTGGTACAAGGTATTGGTAAAACTGCTAAACGATCCCTGTCAGCAACATATATAGATAACAACGTACCAGACAAAACTAAAACTGGATTATATCTAGGTTTGTAACTGGTTTGTTTCTTATGTTATTTGTATAATTCTAAGCTTTGAAGAAATCTTTAAGAACACCGCTGAATGCCAGGAATGAGAGAGAGAGAGAGGAGAGAGAGAGAGAGAGATGGGGTTTAACGTCCACTCGACACAAACTAGGTAATTTCGGAACTAATATCTGGTTCAATTTTATTTCAATAATTCGCTTGCGCTTAGGGATCTTTAGACGGGCAACCCTACTCCTTGTCACGTACAACCGTGGAGTCGAAACCACGCCAGTTGACTCAATGACAGACTTTATGATACAGCGTGCACGCGCTAACCATTCGACCATCCAACCCCCCTGGGTGAAGATGATCAGAAATGAAGACTAATGAAGACGGGCATACGCCATACAGTGTGCTATGAGGGAAATTTTGCGCGGGCAGCGGCGCTACGGCCTACTCTTATATCAAATTCCAACTGCCAAGGGATCTTGTACGTGCACGCCAATTTGTACACGGGACCTCGGTTTTTCGTCCCATCCGAACGACTAGACAGCTGTCCTGGTCAGGCCCTCCGTCCTGCATCACTGACAAGGGGAAAATTTGGATGAACTTTCTCGGCCAATGCAGAGATCGAACACCCGACTTCCAGGATAGCGAGCCAGCGTCTTACCCACTTAGCCACGTGATAGACACTAGATGATATAAACAAAAATCAACAACAATCAATACTAGCTAGTGTTTAAAATATAAAATACAGTGGACGAATTCAGCAGCATAAAATGGTACCAGGTGTTCATAAAAGGGTAAGCAAATCCTGCATTGCGCGTGCCATATCATCGCGATAAACAATATACTTTACCACGGACCACATAGTAATATAAAACGAGCATGCTCTGACATGGTGACTAAGCTGCGATTGTACGAATCAGTTACAGATGATAATCGTAGGATTAATATATAGATATATTTTAAAATAAAATCTTTATTATGTTTTTTTTTCAGGATTTACCATAGCAGCATCTGTTCTAGGACCAGGTGTTGCTATATTGGTAGGATCAGCCATGAGCAGCATACCCGTCGATTTATCAGGTCATTATGTCTATATCTACCTACCGCTATATGTATATACCGCTATTTTCGGATTTTCTATTATTAAAGTAAGTTACCGTATCAAGAGATAAACAATAAAACATTATGTCAATTTTATAAATAAATTGTGTATGTCCAACAATTAGTTTAATTAACATTTCATTAATGTCGACAAATGGCGGTACAAGTAATACAGAATGTTCGACTCGCTCTACTCCAAGCACAGGGAATGTGACCTTTCTGAATCCGGTTTCAATTCACCCATCTTACCTTTTATTAAACAATTCGTGGATCCGCGCTGGTTAGTCCGAATGAAAATAAGTGCCCTAATTGGTTTTAATTTATTTATATTTCAGATACATCTTTATCGACTACAGACCCTAGATGGATTGGGTGTTGGTGGTTAGGCTTTGTGATATTTGCTGGTTTAGGTATAATCACCAGCTTACCAGTTTTATTCTTCCCTAAGCGAATGAAGAATGTAGCGGCCATTCCTGATGACAAAAAAACAGAGACCAATTCCAAGTCACTTTGCACGACATTGAAAGGTGGGTATAATTTACTATTAATTGATATATTAATGCCACAAAGTTTTAGTGGTGTTTCCAAAGACCATAGGCTTGCTGTGTTTTGGGCTCGAATAAACGTATCTACTGAACAAATGAATAACGATTCGATTGTCAATCGTTATAAAACATTTCCAAACAAGATTTGATATCTGCTTATTCAGTCCAGTCTTCCAGCCTATACAAGAAAAGACAAGAGTCTGCCCAAGTAGCAGACTGGCCATAGAGTGGGAGACTTTGTTTCTGACATGTATATATGGTACGATAGTACTATATGGATCCGGTACTCAGAATGCCGTGATCGCGACCATCTTGGAATTGTGGCGACATATCCCAAATCTTTGAATAGGCTTTTTTTTTTGAAGAGCTTTGCCCCCAAGAACAACAACAATAAAATGAGTAGTGCCTTGGAGCCAGTTCCTGAACCAAACAGTCAATTTTGTATGACTTTTTCTTTTTGCTCTTCAGGTTTACCAATGACATTGATCAGAATATTTAAAATACCTATATTCACAGTAGCTCTACTTGGCATTTCTGTTATAAGTTTCTCTATAACTGGTTTAATTATCTTTGGACCAAAATATCTTCAAAATCAGTTTTATATACCGGCATGGAAAGCAAATCTTATAAGCGGTAAGTACTTTAATCGTGTAATAACGTCTTATTATAATTTCACCTTCCATGTTGGAAGATGTAAATAGAAGTAGAAAGAACTTTACGCATGCGCAGGGCTATACCACCAATCAAAAACGACTATTGTGTTTACTTGCATAGCAACAAGCCAATTCGTCATGTGGAGGCGGGGGTTACCTAAACTGCTTTGATTGGACCCAGACGTCTATGACATCGATTATCCTACTATATTTGGAAAGAGGAGATCCCAATCGACATTTACATTGGCAACAATGAAAGGGAAATCCCGGAAGCGAAGGAAATACGAGCGCTGCAAAGTTTGATCTTTTTACGCAATTAGCGATACAATTATCGTTCTGTTTTTTTCACAGCATCCACCAAATTTTATATTTTATATATTTTAAATAATAATTTCACCAAAACTATCTACTTTATTAAAAAATATATGCTTTTTCGGAACATTTAGTGCCAAAATCGAAATTTCAATAACTTTGACCCATATAGTGTATTTTGACGTTTCTGTTGAAATCAGCTCGTGGGAAATGCGACTGATTTTGAAATGGACGGACACATATATTCTTTTAAACTTTTAACACAGAGAAAGCCCTAGTTGCTTAATATTGATAGAGATCCATCTACTTCATACTTCAAGAATAGATCTCTGCCTTGAAGGGCCGCTATATCCAAAAATTGATATGGTATTTGGAATGCAGTTCGTCCCCGTTTAACATCTTTCATACACAAAACGAGTAAATACATTTTTACAATTTTCTAAATGGAAGTGGAATAAATATTTCTAAGAATTCTCGAAGTATACTTAAACATACATTATGCAAGAGCTAAATCTGTCTATTGCAGATCTTTCTTTAGGCCTGAAATGTTATCTAAATTATTAATTAGACATTAATTAACCTATTCAGACCATAAACAACTCTTGATGGCATTGCTAGCCTGCGATCTTAAGTGGATTGTGAGCCGATTCACTGCATAACTTTTCTTCTCGATTAAACGATTAAATAGATAATCGAGACTATGCTGTTTATCGTACTGACTTTAGTAACGATGACCGAGGCTAGGCAGAAATTTCATTCGCTTAGTTTTCGGTTCATAGTGGATCAATCTAAATGAAATTTTCAGCAAATTGCCTTTACATTATCTAGTTTTTAACTATTATAGTGAGAACTGCCAACTCGTTATCGAATATCCCATAATGTATCTTTAATGTTTTCGACTAAAATCGTCGATTTAGGACTCAAAATAAATGCCTGTTATCAAGTGGAGCTAACTGTATAGCAGACAGCCCAAGTTTAGTATGCATAAGGCCATGATATCGAGTAAGGGAATCTTATACTCCAAACACACCTGCTCCCAATTATCGACGATTTAAAAACCCGTAGAACTATAATAATTACATAAAAGATGAGATTTTTGTATCTCAATCAATACGGTAATAACATTTTGAATTATATAACTGGATGGGTGGCCAATTACTTAAAGTGTTATCTTTTACCCAGTAACTCCAGGCTGTTTACTACAATTCGTAACGTACAAAAAAGTTAGAAGGTGGAATTAAGTACAAGATGCATTATGTGAGAGCTTAATCTGTCTATTGCAGGTCTTTTTTTTTAGCTTCAAACCATTTGTAAATTATTATTTAGACATTAATTCACATTAGAATCAACTCTCTGGACCATCGTATGGTCGAGATTCGAATGGATTTGAACACCCGCGAGATTTAAAAAAAATTGAACGATAAAATGGATAATCGAGACTTAGTCTCAGGTGTCATGTACCGTTGCTACGATTTAAAGCGATCTACGGTATAGCTTCAAACAGTCATAACTCTGTCGAGCATAAAGAAATTTTAATGGAAATTTGAATATATTCATTTTACATTATCTAATTTTGAACTATTATAAATTAGAAAGAAGCACCAGCTTCTATCTAATTCTAACATAACGCATCTTTAATTGGTGAAGTGTCGAAATGCCGACGTCTGAAGCGAGTGGCCCCCAGGAACATTTTCTCAATTATGTCGATGCCACTTCTTAGTTTCGCGTTGTTCATTTCTTGCCCTCGCTTCGCTATCCGTCTATAACCGGAAGACGAAGCCGCGAAGGCAAGAAGAAGCAAAGTGATTTTTCTTCGTCTTCCGGCCTGTATCTGTTAACGCAATATCTCAATGTACCTTCATATACATATGTCTATATTTATAACCGGAAGATTAAGTCCTGAAGGCAAAAAGGAGCAAAGTGATTTTACTTCGTCTTCCGGTCTGTATCTGTTAACGCAAAAGGGTACTTATCGGCTTCCATAGGTGCTAGATTTTGAACCAATATTTTAATGTACATACAGCTAGAAAGATGTTTATATTTATTATTTTATTTAGGTGTATTAGGGTTATTTGTGAGTGTATTTGGAACAGTTTTGGGTGGTTGGTTTACGTCAAGATTTAAGATGGACACCTATAAATGTGCCAAGTTCAATAACTGTATTCTCATACTGGTCTTGGCCTTAACCGGAGCACTAATCTTTATAGGTTGTGATGATCAGCGGATATTTGGTTTAGATACAGAGATGTAAGTTGGTATATGTATAAATATGTATAAACATATTGAATGAAAATTATTAGTAGTGCTCTGTCAAATCAGTTGTCAAAATGTTACAAATGTATAACAAGTAGTTAAGACGCTTGACCTTGTGGAATATGGGGAAATAAGTTTTAAATTCGCATCGATGCAATCTATTACGATTAAAATTTCAATAGCTGGTTTCTTGAAAGAAAATTTGATAACATCTAAACCGAGGATTAATCTACGTATGTAAAAGCAATGTTTCAATTTCAACGGGTTACGTTATTAATCTTCCACCCTTGACCCCCCCCCCCCCCACACACACACACACACCCCACCACCACCACCACCTCCACCAAAGAAAAACCGCTAACAAATCAAATCATAACATACCTTTTATTTCAAATAAACCAAAAATTCAAAAGCAAATGTAAGCACGGTTTTCTAGAAGTCGGTGGCTATTAGACTGATACCAATGTCGAGACTGTATTGTTAAAATGTCTTATTCAATTTATTCAAGTGTCACATTAGATGATGGTTTGCGAGCAACTTCACCAGAGTGTTTCTGTGATGCAAAGGCGTATTTACCTGTTTGTGGTGAAGATGATAGAACCTATCTTAATCCTTGTGTTGCCCAATGTTGGAATAAAACAGATACAGTAAGTCAAGTAACTGGGTTACAAAATAATTCACCACATCTCTACTTTTTTGTCCAGGAACTGAGCTCCAAGAGTCATCTTGTTTTTATTGTTTCTGTTCTTCTTCTTGGGAAGGACGCTCTTATTAAAAAGCCCTTGGCTCCGCCAAGTACGATCGACTTGACACTTGGCATACATATTCCTTGGACAATAGGACATCCATTCACATACTCTGATCTAAAGATGTCTGCAGTGACGTCATCTTCGATCTGGTCCATAGTACGCTCGTACTAGTTTGCAAAACAAAGAAGCAGTAGTCTTGCGCTTGAAAACGAATGGGCTTTTGGTAATTGCGCCGAAACCTGTACCAATAGCTTATTATGAATGTAAAAACTATTTGTGATTAGGTAATTGTTGACCTATCATCAGTGTAAAAGTTATTTGTAAAGCATTGAAAGTTTATCTTTTTGCAGAGTTATGGTGGTTGTATGGAGTTAGATGGCGGATCAGTTACGACAGGAATATGTGCTACAGGTTGTTCAAATCTCATTCCCTACCTAGTTGTATATGTAATACAGAGTTTTTTAGGAACCCAAGCTATTGTACCCAGCTATCTTATTTTAATCAGGTAAATTTCAAATGTTCACAGTGGAGTCGGCGTAAATATATTCAAATTTTAATATTGTTCATGTGCAGCACAGATATATCGGCATATAAAATATATTAAAATATAGTGAATACATCCGTTCTTAATATTCTGTAGTGGGTCAATGTAGATAACACCGTAACTAATAAGTTGCAATAATTCACACTTTCAGTGTTGAGATGCCAATGAAATCCGTTATGACTGCAACATAGATATTGACTTAGCATAAATTATATTAAGATATCGACCAAAAGTTTTTAAATTTTATGTGGTAGGTCAAGGTAGATAACAGTATAACTATTTATGTTGAAATAATTCACACCTTCAATGTTGGGATGAAATCCGTCATGACTGCAACACAGATGTAACTTAGCATCTGATATAAGAATATAGTGAATAGATAAGTTCTTTATATTCTGTGGTATCAAACTGTGGATAAGAGCGTAACTAATATATTGGATCAATGTTTTGCATTTACTGTTTACTGGTATTGAATTAAAGGCAATGTTTTACTTCAATCTGATTAAAACAGAGATCCTATTTCGTTTCGTTTTTATTTGTTCAAAATTTCGTTTTACTTGTCTTTACTACACTGGGATCTGGAAGAGTTGTTATTTAAACCGTGTTCTGGTTGATGTAAGGGATTAAACAGTCTGTTACGGTGAATTCTTGGCGCCCTGAGCGGAATTGTGGCTAAACCACTAGAAACGTCAACGCTGATTTATTAATCAATGTCTGACGTCATAGGGTTAAAGGCCACTCGTATGACCCCTGACGCGACCCCCGCCCCCACTACAGCTGGTCAGATCTTCATGTAGTAGGGACCATTGAAAGTATAAAAAAACGAAACGAAATATAGATCTGTATTTCAATCAGTTTGTGTTTTACTTGTGTTTCATTATTGTAGGAGTGTTCAAGATGTTGATAAATCTGTTGCCATTGGTCTGTTAGTCTTTGCTACTTCTATATTAGGTAAAAACTTCATTATTATTTTCTTCATCTTCAAGGGTTCTTAAGAAAATAAAATGTCGGTGGATATGGGGTTTCACGTCCTACATTTCCGCACCGACTGATTTAATGAAGACGGACATACGCCATGCAGTATGCATTGGATCAAATTTTGCCCGGACAGCCGTATATGTCCTACCCTTTATTTCGAAATCCAACTATTTTATAAGCAAACCAACTTTAACTTTTACACAGGACCTCGCTTTTTCGTCCTATCCGAACGACTAGACACTGCCCTTGCTAGGCCTCCACCCTGCAGCACTGACCAGAGAAACTCACACCAGATACTCCCATGGAACTTTCTCGGCCAACTCGTAGATCAAACCCGAGACTTCTAAGTTAGCGATCCAGTGCGATTCCCTATAACGAGAGAGGAGTTACAAATCTGAAAGTTTTGCTACAAGTATGATCGCATGAAAAAGAGATAGAGAAAGAGAAATGGGGTTTAACGTCCACTCGACACAAACTAGGTCATTTCGGGACTAACATATGGTTTAATTTTATTTCAATAATTCGCTTGCGCGTAGGGTTCTTTAGCAGTGGGAGGAAACCGGAGGACCCGGAGAAAACCCACGAGGTTGGACAGGCGACCCTGATCGCATGAAAAGCATATTCAGACATAGTAAAATATATGCTTGCTAATTTGACAGGAGATTGCAATATTTTAGGAATTTTAGACACAATGTTTTGCCATATGTTACATGAGTATATTCATTCTACTTATCATGGGGATCACGGTGGCTAAGTGGGTAAGAAAAAAAAGACGCTGACTCGCTAGCCTGGAGGTCGGGTGTTCGATCCCTGTATTAGCCGAGAAAGTTCATCCAGAATTTCCGGCGTGGTTCCCCCTGGTAAGTGATGCAGGACGAAGACCCTGGCAAGGACAGCTGTCTAGTCGTTCGGATGGGACGAGAAACCGAGGTCCCGTGCGTGTACACATTGTGCACGTAAAAAATCCCTTGACAGTTGGAATTCGATATAAGAGTCGGCCGTAGTGCCGCTATCCGGGCAAAATTTCCCTCATAAGCACACTGTATGGCGTATGCCCGTCTTCATTAGTCCAGTTCGGACCAGAACAGTAGAACGTTAAACCCCATTTCATTTCATTTCATTTTGACTTTCATAGGATTAATTGAAGTTTGGAATTTGGTCAACGAGTTCATTCTATTTCTATTTAACATGATTATTCTATTGGTTATTTCTTTTATTTCCATTTATATGAAAATATTTATAACTGTTCAGTTGGTGTTGCATTTCTGTATAGTTTGGATTGTCTGTGTTTTGTTATACAGTTTTCCTATGTTATTTATTGCAGGTTGGTTACCGGCTCCTATAGTATACGGTCTAGTCATTGACGGAACGTGTCGGGTTTGGAACATGGTGGACGGAAAACAAGGATCCTGTCAGCTTTATTATCTGGATCAATTAAGAGCGCGATTCCTGGGTCTGGAATCGGGATTAAAATTGTTTTCTTTGTTCTTTTATCTGGTTATATTGTTCTTGTCTCGACGACAAGCACTGAAAGAGAACAACGAAAAGACACAGATTGAAAAAGACGAAATGGAGAAAGGGGCAGATAGCGACGATTTAAATGAAATACAAATGACGGAAAGGGTCGAAAATGGTGACGTCACTCATTGAGGCTTACAACCATTGAACAAGAACATATTTTAGCCCACATTCGCTGAATGTATTTTGTATATTTGATTATAGGAGCATTTATATAACTGTTCTATAACGGGTTCTGGTGTGGCACAGAGGCAAACCGTCCAATTACGTTTTATTTCTGAATCAAATGACTACAACGAAAGGCGGTGGTGGAGTGGGGGCAAAATGTTTAGATTATTTGAATTTATATTTTTGTGCTTAAACTACAGCTTCACTTTGATTCACCGAATCGAGTATTGGGCGTGCTTGGTGTGCTGTCCATCCGCCTGCTGTATTCGACATCCCTATTACGTATAAAACCATGTGGAATTATATTGCACAGCAATTGGACAAATGCATATCTCATATAACTCCCCTCAGTTAATAATGCAGTAATTTGGTGCTTTAAATCTGATACGATCAAACACTGAAGTTTGGGTCTCCAGGCAGTTTGTTATTATCCTAATGGTTCCAAAGATCTTAGCTTAAAATTAATGCTTTGATAACTTGCTACATATTGAGGCACGGTTTAGAATAAAATAATTGCATTTTGAAATCAAGGGGAGATAAATCTTGCAGTGACATGGTGTTTCTGGGGATACATCCCAACATTCATCGGATATTAGTATGGACTGATTGATCGAGTTTAAATAAAATTTTATTACTTTTGGGGGGTTGGTTGGTGTCAAAATTTATTGAATTTTACTCTCCACCTTTTTTTTTTAACTTTATGTACATCCCTCACTGTGATATAATATACACAGTAGGCCCATATTGCTTTGTAAATATACTGAAACCTGTTAAATTAATAATTTAAAGGCCATACCCTTTAATTATTACCTTATACATACAATATGTTTAGGGATTAACAATGTTAATATCAGTTATAGACTTATGGTTAACTATTTTGATAATTATATTAAAGTAGTATCACTAATGTTTGTACATAATCGTGAAATCCAAGATGGCCACCAAAAAGCCACTGTACTCTGTAAAACTGCAATAAATATGCACATAGGCATGCTAAAACTCTGTTTTTAATATATAGTTCGTTTTTATATCAGTATTATGCTTGATGAGAGGAAGAGAATCGTTGTAAAATCGTAGCTCCGATTAATAACCGAGAAACTAAATAAATTACCGGGCACCTTAACATCCACAGTGTAAAAATAATCGTAGTTACACAATATTGTTATATTTTAAAGTGAATCCTTTTGGTTCGGTGCGCTCCCTCCGTTAACATGTATATATTCGTGATTCCACCCCACTGATATTGGTCTACCTATTGATGTTATCCGAGGTTTCGTATCTTCCTGGAAGCTGTGTGGTCTGGGTTTATTATCTTCATGTAAACTGTATGGTCGTATTTTATCTAATGGAATTATATTATTTTCATACGCTGGAATCTACAAAAACAATATAGCAATATATTAATCCTCTAGTTAATGAGCGTCTAGGGGTTATTTACCAAATTCGAATCCCGACGTCTTTTTCAGACATGTTATAACGACTATGACTGTAACAATAATAACCTGCCTCCTTTATACTTAAAGATGCATTATGTAAGAGCTAAATCTGTCGGCTTTAGGTCTTTTTTTCTGACTTCAAATGTTATATAAATTATCAATTAGACATTTATTCACATGGAAACCCCCATCATCAACTTTCTGGACCATCCGATGGCTTAGATATTGGATGAAATAGACCATCATCACCATATTATAGGTTAACGTTAAAATGGACGTCATTCAATAAAGAGAATAACAATTTTACTTGACAATCGACTATTTCTTGTCAAAAATTCAAATACCCATAACTTTGCTAACCATACTCATTTTTCATTATCTAAATCCTAAATAATGACTCTTTAATGATAATGGAAAGAAAAAAAGTAAATACCTGTAATTTTTTCTGTAATTCTTTATTTTTCTTCCCCTCCTTGTCTCTGAAAAATGAATTAATTGTTAAGTTACACCACAAAACAAACTGAAGACGCGCTGGATTTCAATCGGCAATTAATATAAGGAGTCATCAATGCGTAAGAATTTGTTTATCTGACCCAAACCAAGGATCTAGATACCTTTGCGGTTTCTTTGGATTTGATAGTAATTTATGGTTTGAAATGTACCGGGGAGGGTGGTTATGGGAGTTTTGGCTGCGTGTTTGTCCCCCCCCCCCCCGAGGTTACTGTGCTAATTAACTATCATTAATGGTCTCATGAAGAGGATGAGCAGAATATCCATCTGAATGGGGTTTAACGTCTTACCTTTCTGCACCGACCGAGCTAATAAACACGGGCATGCACCATACAGTGTGCTATGAGAGAAATTTTGTCCGGATACCGGTGTTTCCGCCTACTCTTCGTCGAGTATCCTTTGGTGTACACGCCAACGTGAAAGTGGGGCCTCAGTTTTTCGTCCTATCCTAACAACTAGACGCTATTCCTTGCCAGCCCCTCCCCCACCCCGGTCCTACACCTCTGATAAGGGGTAACCACGCTGAAAAATGCCAAGGAACTTTCTGTGCCAAGACTGGGATCCAACCAGGGACCTTGTTCATCTATACTTACTGTTTGCATAAAACGACAATGGCTGTAATAACACCGATGATCAGTAACAATAACAATGGTATAACGATAGACAAACACAATATATCACAATTAGTTAATGAAGACGCTGACGTCATCGTCGTTATATCCGTCATGACGTCAGGTGAACTTGTGTACGGGGATTCTCCACTTGGTTCATAATCATCGGGAGTCGAAGCCTCCGACGTATCGTCAAAAATTGATTCTTGGGAATGATTTGTCGATGGTGCGTCTGCACATTTAATAGGACACAGTGCGCATGTTGCTGTCAGCATATCGTGTAATGTTTGACACAACGAGGCAACAAGACACGCCTTCAGTAATTCCACTTTTTGTCCACATGAAATTGAATCCTGATAATTAGTGAGACACCTGTTTAATACCAGAACACTCTGATCACATGACATGTTAGTCTTGGTAAAATATCCCAGGGTTAGGGTTATATTCCAGATCGGAGGACAAGGTGCCGAGGTCAAGAACACGTCCATATCTGTTGCGTTGTTTTCATTGGTCCCGTTACTAAACGTCGTCATTATTTCATCGTTCCAAACATTATGTGGTACCTGTAAGAAAAGAACATATAATTTTAACGTCTAGTAATGGTATCAAGTGTGGCGAGCCACTCGTGCTTCGAGGGCTATTCCGGCAAAAGGTGGGAACAGTTCAGAGAGGAGGAGAATTTGAGATGATGCATCGGTAATGATCATTAAAGCGATTTTATCTTCTTTGCCAAGCTGCATATACCCATTTGGGGTTAGGCGAAGTGGGTAGGGTGGGTATGGAAGGGGTATCTAAACCATACATCATTCCAAAGTTACTGTTGGGATAAGAGCACACGTAATTATAATCGTCAAATTTAAACCATATTATATTTTGCCATAGAAATATGACCCCATGTGCTTTCCATATCAATTGTGACTGCATATACATAAAACCATAACAGGTGATCCTAAATATCAAAAGCTTCCTGTGATGGTAATTAATGCCCTCCAGCAAATAATAAAATCAACCCTCCCCACCCACCCGGAAGGTACCATCCACCCTACACCCAACACCACACCTTTTCTCCCTTCCCTCACTCTTTCACAAGTTTAAAGCGTATTTTGTATCATTTCACATCTGATTGGTAAAGAGTTAAACGTTTTAACATGGGATAAAATTATGTACATCATCAGGGGGAGTTGGATGGCAGAAAGGTTAGCACGTACGCGCTGTATCATAAGGTCTGTCGTTGACTAAACTGGCGTGTTTTCGATTACCCAGTTGTACGTGACAAGGAGTACGAACGCCTTTCTAACCTCGTGGGTTTTCTCTGGGTTCTCCGTGTTCCTCCCACTGCCAAAAACCCCTACGCGCAAGCGAATTATTGAAATAAAATTGAGCCATATGTTAGTCCCGAAATGACCTAGTTTGTGTCGAGTGGACGTTAAACCCCTCTCTCTCTCTCTCTCCCTCCTCCCTCCTCTCTCTCTCTCATCATCAGATTATGTGTTTAAGCGATGTGCGAACATACAGTAGTATAGGTTGTGAAAGTTTTCAAATTCTTAGATAAAAGGAATTAAATTCCCAACATATGTGAACCTTAAGATAAAACCAAATTTAAAAAATTTAAAACCAGACAGGATTACATCATTTAACTAGCTAAATTAAACGCCAAATTCCCAAGTAACTGATTTTGTATTTGTATTTAGATAAAAGGAATTAAATTCCCAACACATGTGAACCTTAAGATAAAACCAAATTTAAAAAATTTAAAACCAGACAGGATTACATCATTATCTAGCTAAATAAAACGCCAAATTATCAAGTAACTGATTTTATATTTAGTGGCATTTAAGATTTTAAAAAAATGTTTTGTTCTAAGAGCCATACAAAATAGTTATTTATAAACGTAACAAATACTTTGTTAATGGTACTAAAGATTGAAAAATACGTTGGCATAGCTCTGCTTACAATAAATTAGTCAAAGACAAAAAAATGTTTCTGGATCTATAACAACAGAAGCAAAGAATGGTATTATAGTTGGCGAGATCAACTCTCTACTCTTAATTCAATAGTCTAGACAGCAGATACGTTTGCTGTTTCACTGGCTAAAATATTAAATGTTGATACCAAGAAAAATAGAAAAGAACGTTAACATAAATAGAAAAATGAATAAATAAAAGACAAGCACAGGTGAACACATACTAATAATATTTTGGTGCGAAATAAGATGCCAGATTACTTAACAAAAATGATTGATTCATGTGGCCTTGTATACTTTGATAAATTGAAATGGGGTTTGATATCTCATCAAAACATACGGTGAGGTCATTTTCTCTGGCAATCAAAAGTCTTGTAAAAAGCATAGTTTTCTCAGCATTTGGATCATCGTATTATTGACTAAAATGAGTGGGTTTTAAGTACGTCCCAACTTTCTGCTCCATCCGGGCTAATGAAGATGGGTATTAGTCATGCAGCGTGCTATGGGTGAAATTTTGTCCGGAAAGTGGCGCTACGGCCAACTCTTGCCCGGAATGTAGCGCTGCAGCCTATTCTTACATCGGATTCCAACTGCCAAAGGTTCTTTTCTCTGTGCACGCCAAAACGTTGTCGCCTACCTTCTGCAATGCGCACCAGTGGGGAACCACGCCGGAAAATGCTGATGGATTTTCTCGGTCAATACCGAGATCGAACACGGGACCTCCAGATTAGCGAGCAAACGTCTTACTCTCTGAGCCACCACGGCTTCAACATTTGCATAACAGCTATAGATATCATATGCATACACCTATTGTATGCCATGACCTAAAATACACATTTGGGGATAAGAATATCAAAGTAATTATATAAGACGATTATATCGTAAATAGTTTAAGTTAATCCAGATATTGATATGTCAGATTATTATGCCCGGCTGTTGTTATGATTTGTGGAATCACGGAGACTCGTTCATTAATGAAGGTTCCGTGTTCTCTGAGATTAGACGGACCCGATATCTAAACTCTATTGTACAAACAGGACATCTACCACTCCAGAATAGAGTGGCATATATGATGTGAATACCACCAAACGTTACGTTCTATAAGGGAAGGAATTCTCACTAAACCAATCCATGGTCATACTCATAGATCGCAAATGGAATGGTTGCAATATCATGCAAGCTTCTGCTTCTCTTCGGTCTTGTCTGTGATAACTTAGCAATAAGTTAAAGATACAATAGTTTTAAATCGATCGAAATAAGCGCCACAGTCCAGGAATAATTTCATTCATAGCACATTGTCCGACTTCACTAGTCCAGTTGCATACTGATCAGAAGTGAATATTCGCTAGGCCGCTACAATCACTGATAAGGATGACATCGATGCGACTTAATGAGCCACAAATATTAACTTTTTTCCTCCGACAAATTAAATTCTAAAACATTTTTTTTTTTAAGGTAATAGAAAAAGAAATAAAGACGTTTGACGCATTTGAAGGTAAATATTATTTCCTATTTAGTGTACCGTTCAACCCAAACCAGTAAGGTCTTATGTAAACAATGCACGCCATTGAGCCAATGATGACGCCGCGTAATGAGCCGAAACGTGTTGAAAGTTGTCATCTTTTACAGAGATATTAGAAGAATTTCGTAATCCTCTGTGAAACAGATTGGTCCAATTGGAGCAGTTAAGTGAAATGAAATGAAATGGAGTTTAACGTCCTACTGTTCTGCTCCGAACTGGGCTAATGAAGACGGGAATACGCCATACAGTGTGCTATGAGGGAAATTTTGCCCGGACAGCGGCACTACGGCCTACTCTTATATCGAATTCCAACTGTCAAGGGATCTTTTACGTGCACGCCAATGTGTACACAGGGCCTCGGTTTTTTTTGTCCCATCCGAACGACTAGACAGCTGTCCTTCTCAGGCCCTCCGTCCTGCAGAGCAGATAAGTAAGACGTTAAACCCCATTTCTTTAAATAATTCGCCGATCCACGTGCTCAAAAATATGTTGTTTTGCTCCACTGTAAATATATTGATAGTTACATGGCGTTTATTTTAACAGGCTGATCAAAGAACTGAGATATTGTTCTACATGGGTAACGAACAATTATATTTCTTCCTCCACCCTTTTAAAATAAACAGTATTAGGAAATCAGATCATTGGAAGAATTTATTAGCCTAATAAATAACTAAAAAAGAAAGTTTTGGCAACACAAGATGTTCATGATATTTATTGGTATTTGGAGAACCGCCGGGGACGATATAAAAATTGTATGAGCGAACGGGAATTAATTACAATATATCTATATTGGCCTTTTAGTTTGGAATAGTGTGCTTTTTACACCAAGTTCCTAATTCAGAAACGAATGTTTTAATACAGCAATTGTAGCAATTGTTCCATTTTCTATCCGACTGAAATCAACTGCGCGCTATATACTTATAATAGGAATACTCGATCCCTTCAAGGTGTATAATGTCTATCAATTCGCCCTAGTGGGGTTTATAATCTAAGTCATTTTGAGACTAGCATACGGATATATTTGTTTCCTATGACTAACTGTTCAATACTTGGGAGTACATGTATATACATTGTCCAGCTGTGTTTCCATTTTCACCTACACTTCTTCGAATACCACCAAGGGTTTCCTTACCTACACGCCATCGGTAAAACCCTGGAATTCGTTTTTTGTCCCATCCCAACAACAAGAAAACACTTGCTTTGTCAATCCCGTAGGCGTTAGCCCTGTTAATGTGTATTGAATGTACGACTTGTAACTGTTTGTTATGTTTATTCAAGATGTCTGTAGTGTTTTGAATACAAACTACACTTTGATATATCTTTACCTACAGTGGAGATCTATTTTCTGAGAAACACTTGCAAATATTTACTAAACAAGCTTAGTATTCTGACTTTGGGTCACTTCACTATTTGGGTGGTGATCTTGCTAATGGATACACACCATTAATAATAATATCGTCATTTATAAAGAGCATTAATACTGAAAAAAACAGTTTCTAAGGCGCTGTTGGTTCTTATATTCACTGCTTATTTACAGATCAGGGTTTTGAAATGAAATGAAATGAAATGGGGTTTAACGTCCTACTGTTCTGCTCCTATGCTGGGCCAATGAAGATGGGCATACGTCATGCAGTGTGCTATGGGGGAAATGTTTCCCGGGCAGCGGCACTATCGCCTACTCTTATATCGAATTCCAACTGCCAAGGGATCTTTTACGTGCATTCCAATGTATACGCGAGACCTCGGTTTTTCGTCTCATCCGAAGGACTATACAGCTGTCCTTGTCAGGCCCTCCGTCCTGCATCACTGACAAGGGGGAACCACGCCGGAAAATCTGGATGAACTTTCTCGGCCAATGCAGGGATCGAACACCCGACCTCCAGGCTAGCGAGCCAGCGTCTTACCCACTTAGCCACGTGATCCCCCAGGGTTTTGAAACAAGAATGTTGAAATTTAAAATAGCCCACAGACGGTAATTGTTTCATTGACTGTGGTAGTTTAATGAAAAAACCCTTGACCAAATATGGTATGATTTTATCAAACAAAATGATACATATAGAATGTAACAGCATTGCGAT